AATGACACATTAGTGTTGTCGGCGAAGCAACATGTTTGAAGATTAAATGAGAAGTTGCACTATGGTAATTTTGCTAAATTACTCTTCTGTCACCTGCTACGCAGTCTGACGGATGCCGGTGCCCGAGTCAGGATAAGTCACAAAGTCCCACTTCATCATCATCAGACAACTTTAACACCTTCACCATAACTGGGTGTAATGACGCAAATGTCTGGAAGTGAGAAACAGGACTCCCATTACTCCCCATAAAGCCCGTCATCCATCATTGTTTTACAGCGAACATACTGTAGGGACTACCGCAGGACTGGCTTAAAAGATGACGTGTGCTCCTAAGTACTTAAGTTGTAAGGTCTTAACTTTATTACCATTCACATGTTACATGTCATCATTCAATAGAGATGTGGAGAGTGAGAAAGAGAGAGAGAGAGAGACAGAGAGAGAGAAGAGAGGGGGGCTGCGTTTGCACTTTGAAAAAATCTGTACTTTGAAAGAATCTGTACTGACGTTATACGTAATGGCAGTATACAGCATTTTATACCTTTATTGCCGCTATGTGCTACTTCACAGAAATAAAAGAATGGTACAAAATAATTTTTCACAAGTTTGGAGGAGACCACTTGCCAGTAAATGCTGGATAACAGTAAGCGACTGTGGCTTATGGTCTTATTATTAACCAAAGATATATTCTGTTCTTTCTTTTGTAGTTAAGGATTCACTCTTTCATGTCTTCCCAAACCAACAGGCAATAGAAAGCGATGGCCTTTACCCACAGCGTGAAGCAAAGTCGATTCGATCGTTTCCTAGAGAAACCATTAAGGGAACTTGGGAAATAAAATCCACCACGGCAGTCGATAGTCCCCTGGGCACGACCTTCTGCACGGGGGAATTACAAGAACTCACAAGCTCGGGAAAACGATTTCCCATCGGCATATCTCCCCTCGCTAGACCGCTGAGAGAAGTATCCTTGAGGCATAGAGACGGTCTCGTAAAGTACGTTCGGTTAACCTCCAGCTAGGCATGACTTATCGCTGGGTCCTGAACCAGGATCAAAGTTATTGCGCTCAGCTTCAGCGGTTGGAAGACTGATAGAAATTGTCAGTTCAGTGGCCAGGAAAGCGCCGTAACTTGTCCTCCGGTAGGGAAAAGCGCATCCCTCAAGTCACCTGTTACCATCGTAATCTCTGCGACCATTCAAAAGTATCTGCCTCGCAACGCCATTTCGCAAATGGCTTAGGAGAGAGAGCAATAATTCCAGCGACCGGCTCACCAGAGCTTTGGCACCGAAGATGCTCATTGTAGATGCCGGGCGGCATAGGTCAGATAACCCGCTCAGTGCGCCCAGCGTGAGGCTGTATGCAGATGGTTGGCTCGGCGCCGTGAACCAAAAGGTTCAGGGTCAGTTACTTCTCCAAAGCCTGACGAACATATCAGAAAATGAATTTCAGATGACGAAGCTTAAAATCAATCAAGTGCAAATAGAACTCATATGCACTTACTTTTTTTATACTTTGAATACAGTAATATAAGGAAGAAAAGAAATATGCGCATAGCAAAAATCGGGTCCGTTACTAGTATGCCAACCAGAATCTATGTGAAACTAGTGGATTATTTATACACAAGTTTCACGTTCATTTGTCTTACTTCAAATTCCGTCAGACAGGCTTCACAAACTACTCTATATTGCCCCAAGTACTGTCAAAACATCATTTTCATAAAGAATTCGAAATCTAAACATCCCAATGCCTTGCGGTGTTCTCATAAAGAAGACAGAGTACAAATATATCCAATTCATTTCTGGTTTATATTAGTTCTCCAGGCGGGATTCTGACGGTAGTCGTTTTACTCTTCTTCTTCCTTGGAACCTGAGCAGATCTAGATGAGAAAGACGCATTTTTATATATAACATGTGGTACCGCGTACCGTAATGGGCACAAGATGTGCCCAAAATAGTTGTAGATGGCAGGCCGTATAGCTGAACAGCTAAGATTAATAGTTATGTCAGTTTCATTCCACATACGCATTGCTTAAGACATTGTTTCGCGTCCTTTGAGTGGAATTTATAATATTTGTCAAAAGAAGAGGAATGATAGCATGGATAGTTATGCATAATGGAACATAACAGGGAACAGACGAAATATTCCACTGACTCATAGCTGGGTGATCTATCTGAATAGACAACATTTTGTCAGCGGTTAGTGTGTTTATGCAATGTGGGGACCAAGCTGTACAATTGTTTCCTTATTGCCTTCCTATCATTTACTGAAACACCAGGTATAGCATTATGTTCATCGATGCAGAGAGAGCTATGCCCTAATAGATGATGCATAGAATAGATGGCTTTCGTAGGGACCTTTAGTCTGAATTGAGTTCAATCAATCTCGAGCGCACTCACATTTAGCTTTCCATATACTGTTGCATGTGGCGGCCACTGGGACATCGCCCATAATGTCACGCAGAAAATATTCATTATATCCTACTCCAGTGGCGCACCTGTGGCACACCCTCAAGTTTACTTTTCAGCCTTCTTATCTCTCCCGTGCATCTCCCATGAGTTCATTTGTACGTCTTTAATGTAAAGCCCTTTTCAGACAAAGTGGCGTCTTGATAAAACACCATCCATTCCCGACACGGGACACCCTCTCATTCCTCACACAGACGGCGCCGCCAATATGATAAAGTCTAGCGGGTACAAAGATAATTTCAATTTTCACCATTGGTGTCAGAATGATGCAATGGAGCATTGTCGTCTCGTTATAAACCTCCCAATGGTACTCATTATCTTCCACTGTAATTGGTTCTCTTGTCCCTGTTCTATAGCATGTATGAGGCTATCGCTGACATGGCGCTATGCGATAGTTTGTTAACTCCTGGCGGGGAGCAGGAAGAATTTATGATAGGGCAACCTGGATGTAAAGCACGCTAACATGGGAAGATAAAGTCGAAAGGGAGTATTTAAGTTGGAAAACTTTTTTGTCAGCTGATTCAATATGAAATTAATGATCTCCTTCGGGGTTTGTCGCCTTTCTTAGCCCCACGTAGGAGTTGATCTAGCAATATTTTATTGCGTGTAAAATATCGGCTTACATGAAAGATCCCTGAATAGTTTCATCAGGTTGGTAAGTCAGAGACTCTTTTCACACAAGCAAGTCTTTTATTCAGCCGACGTTTCGGCGATGACCGTCTGTCACCTTCCTCAGGGCAATTCTGACTGGTTCACATTGCACTGCAGCAAAGAGTCTTTACTCAACTACATGAAAGATGCGTTCTTGGATACGCGGAGACTATCCAGAACCACGCCTGATCCTTACCCCATTCAGGCAGAGAGCTAGATAGGCCAGATTCTGGATACGATAAGCTTCTCCATTTTCGGGCATTCACCCCATGAATGCGAACTGTTTCATTAGCCTACACCGAATCTTTGAAATAATGAGCTCCCAAGCCGTTTGCCTTGTCTCTTGAGCATGCCACATAACGAACACATTTTCATTGGTAGAACTGAGATATTTTTGGGAACAATTAATTGTCATCCATAATAAGCTGGCATGGGAATAAAATCCTGATCCCTCTTTTTTTGTGAGCGATTTTTTGTGGTAAATTTAGAACAAAATGGACCGCACCTGAAATGGATCGAATTTAGCGTCTTTGTACTTGCTTTACCTTACCAACCCGACCGAAGGGCCCTAAAATTCCCCAAACTTGACAGGCTATAGCTACAAGCCCACTGATGTACCATAAAGTGAGTGGGCGATCGTGCTTTATGGGTACCATAGGTATCTATATATCCGTTTGAAATTTATCATAAGAAGACTACCGGATATCAAGTTTTGTGTCACCTCCATGGTCACACTTTGCGTCTGGGAATGTACCAATCCTAACTGTCTATCACAATTATCGGTTCAACCGATGATAAGATAGCAATTAGCAGTTCGACCAATCAGAGTGACAACAGTTGGTCAGATATGTTTTAACCGGGGTAGGTAAGACTATAGGATTGGTATGAAGATATAATAGTACTGTCGTTCAGATTGGTGACCATGAGATCCCAGAATTTAATCTACGGCAAAGAAAGTAGCCGTTATTGTCCGAAAGTTCACAATCAGATCCTGTCATTTCCAAATTCAATCAGACTCAAAGCCAGAGCAAACTCCTGGAACAATTCGATCAAGAGATGGGATCTAGGGGATCAGCTGGATGTGAAATTGAGAATATCTAACGAAAGTGCAACATTCTATTAGTGGAAACGTGCACAGGTAGAGAGAAAAATCGAAATTAAAATCCAATTTCACAGCAGCACGGTCTGTGAGGAATTGGATCAGAGAGAACAACACGGTGTGGTAAGGCTTATCGAACCATATAAAGCTCAGCCACTCACAGTTGGCATCTCTGAATAATCACCCAATTCTCCAAGAACATTGAAGAGTATTGAACGAGCTGGGGGGCATTGACTCAAGAGAAAAATCAAGAAGCAGTTCCGTCTACGTCTAACGTGTTCCCTACAAAGTTCCGGTCGACTGTGAAGACCGATAATGTTTTTTTTCTCTTCTCGGGATCCAGTGCGATTTCAGGGCAGAAAAACTGAAAATATTCTGAATAAGACAATCTTTGTGATATTGACACATACTGCTTCACATTAGTACATTTGAGTCAGTATTTCATACTTTGTGGGCTTTTAAAACTGCAGAAACTGGATGCCTTTAAGCTTAGCTGCCACTGAGCTTTGAAAACAGTGATGGAACAAAAGCAAAGAAAAACTCTTCAAAGAAACATGACTGACTTTGCATCTACTTGAAATAACCACGGCGTTACAAAATACATTGCCATGTATGCATGCGAGACAGCACTCGACTGAATAGCACTTTATATAACGTTAACAGTCACATCATTGATATGTTTTAAAGGTGACGCAATTACGGTATAAACAAGTGATCTTTTTCATGGATTAGTTTCTACTACCAGAATCGCTATCCCTGCTGACTACAGGTAATGGTTTTGTGACTCACATGGGTCCATAGTTGCAGACGATGATGGTGAAACCGTCACATTCCATCACGCCACAGCCAACCCGGTTGGTCTCAGCCCACACAACCTACAGAGGGAGGAAGAAAAGACTTTTTTAATCATCTATATTATAATGTACATATACAAGATGAAAGGTGATTGGGCATAGCCTAAAACAACCCTTGCAATGCTGTACATTTACCTGTTATTGTCGGTTTCTACCGAGCAACAAGAGGTGAATCGGTGGTCCTTACTCTACAGGTACGTTCTAAGGGCTGGGGTGAACTTTGTAAAGTTTCGCGCCGTGCTTTCTGACGTCATAATAATTAACATATGCATCCCGGCGACCAGGTGTTGGCGGGTAAATTGATTACGTCATGTCACTGTAATCCAACATGGCGGATGTGAAAAACCTCTATAGTTTCAAAAGTCGGACCCGGCAAAAGTCGTCAAACACCGAGCGCTGCCAAGATTTCCCGCTTTTCTCCGCACAGAAAACCCCGACCTGCAACGTGGCCATAGGTTAGTTTCACCTACCGGGTGTTAGGAGAATCTAGTCAGCTGATATGGACGCCAAAAGTTTGGGTAGTTTACGATACTGTTGAAACTTGATATGCCATGGGGGTACAGATAAGTTACAAGCGCGTTGATTGGTGCACGATGCAACATTGCTAGCGGTACATGTAACGTTACGTGGTACCTAAAAGCATAGGTAACGTTCACGGTTGGAACTTTGGAACTGACATGCTCTCTCTTCCAGTCATATATTCAGTTACAGTCTGGCGGTTTGCCAGACCATGGGAAGTGACATGTCTTCCTCTGAAAATTGGAAACTAGCCCGGTTTCCGGCTGAAAATTGCAATAGATAACTGTTATGGAACAGAGGCCCTAAGCATGTGGGTTAGTATTATTATGTGTGACGTGAAACCCCTCTACACGTTTTCTAGCATCAAAGTTAAGTTTGCTGACATAAGTTTGCTACGTATATGTCTTATCTTACACTTGTACAGCATTTTTCTTGCCGAAACTTTATAATGGGGGAAACAGAGAAATTGATGACTTCGTCGGTGAGTCCGTTATCACTTTCCATTCATTTGATTCTATCTTTCTACCATCTCCAATAGTTCTCTGTCTCCAGGGTTATCCTTTTATCGTTTTTGGCCACGATTATAGAGTCTCTGTTGCACCTTAGGCGATACTAATGCATCACCTTGCCAGGTATGAAAACCACTGGAACCCGAGGATTTTGAAATGCTGCAAGCTAAAACTACCGAGGGTTTGGAATTTTTTCCTTGAAATTAACGTGGGTGCTTCGCAGCGTTTCTAATGGCCGTTTTGCCTGCAGCAATCCATCCTTAACCCCAGCGGGTAGAAAACGCAGGAGAATATGATTATCTTGGAAGAATAAGCTTGAACGACTCAGCGAGTGATGCTAGAAATGCATTTTGTTCATCTTCATGTGATAGATAAAGGTTGTATACCTTTTAAACAAACTTGCTACGAGGCAAGTTCAACGTGGATAGTAATGTTTCTATTTTCTGGGTTTGAACTTGGTGCAAGTATTCAATTTGTCAATGCCTTGTGTCTCCGGATCTGGCCATGTTGATATGGTGGTGTAATGTTGTCGTGTATAAACACGTTCGTGTGTGTGTTTGTGCGCTATCGAATAGAGTTGAGAGATGAGCGGAAAAAAAATCAAGGGTACAGGGCATCATACTCGAGGACGGCACAAGACTATTACACCACACTTGCCGGATACTCTTTATGGAACCGAATGCGCATATCGTGGTCTGGAATGACCAGGTCTTTGGAGAAGAGGGTATCAGACTTCATGACTAGGCTTTGACAAAGCATCCTGGTAAGATTACAGTGCAGGCACCAGATATATTCAAAGAACTGAATGATGGCTTCGGGGTTCAAATCGACCAAAAAATGGACCGGGGTTAGGGCATTTCCAGACATTGATGGAGATCATCCTGCAAAACCCCAACCGAAATCCCCTTTTAAAAGTATCGCTTTGACATTGATTGGGTTCAAAATGTCCAATGATGGACAACAGGCGCTGGGCTTAATGCTTGTGCAGATGGTGATGGGCATCATTATTCAAGATGCTATCATGAAAATCTGTCATACGCGGCATAGCTCACATGTTGAACTGGGAAAGACGGGAATTATGACCGCACAGACACTTCTGCAGGCTGTTTCAGCTCGGGGCTGTTCCCCAACACTCATGACAAGAATAAAATGAACCTGCGCATGTTCCGAAACTTGAGGTGGAACATTGAACTTTACGATCCTTACAACTGGACCATAAGACAATATTCCGCAAATATCCCCACATATATTTGCGGATTTGGTCAATATATGAAATATATTTACGTTGTTTAAGCTCACTGAAAGGTGACCGAAAGGCAGAATTTGCCTTTCAGCGGCTTTTACGAAGTCGTAAAATCTACTGAAATATTTCACACCTTTAATACTTCTTTACATATTGCGGAAAGTTTGCTCAAATATCTGCTTTCGTGCTGTGAGACGTGCGGCAGGGAGAACAAATATTGCACAAGTTTGAGCGGGCCATCCTTCACCCCACTGTTGTTTTCCGACCCTCGCATGACCCTCCAAAGGAATAACATCATCAAAGCCGACTGTTGGCAGTAGAGTTACAGTACCGCGCAGGATGTACAGCATTGATCCCGCACCGAGAGGGCTCAACTCAGACTCACACTGGTCGATTGTGACTGATGTGGCGGATTTTGTTGCCAATACGGCCGCACAGCCTGTATATTAAAAACATATTTTCCACACTCTCGAATGTTCATGTGGGGGGCATATCAACGAGCCCCACTGCCAGTGTTCTCGCCAATTATCTGCTAATATCACAAATGAATACAAGACATATGAATTAGAATTATCTTTCAGCCGAATTGCTGTAATGAGCAATATGATCATAATGACATGAAACATGGCATTCATATCACTGCAAATGGATCCACATTCTTTATGGTGTCAGACGTTATCGTATTATGCATCGATAGCAATAATAACACAACAGTATCTTGCTATCTTATTGTTTTATTTGAATTAAAATGAAACAACTGCCGCAGATAAATACTGCAGTTGGATCATAGATTTCATTGTAATTTACTGTCGTACTGCTGTAGACTATGAAATAAAAGTGCACGATTGACGTATGCACGGTGTTACAGAGCTATGATGCTCAAGGCACTAAGCTGTTTTACAATTTTACAAGGTGTGCGCATGAAGAGGCCGTAAACTTAAAATACCATCATGGTTTATAAAACCAAATATGCTATGAGTTTGGCAGCAGTTATGATTGAATGGTACCAGAAAGTAACTTAAAAGTTACGGTGAGGAATAGTATTATTACCTCAATGAAAAATGGAGGTATTGTTTTGGTCTGTGTATTTGTTTCCGCACATTTGTAGTCATCATAACATCAGAACGCCTTTATGGATTGTGATGATATTTGGTATGTTTGGTAGGTCGTAGGAAGATAATAGTCAAGGTCAAATATGGTCCTTCTGGTGGCTGACCTTGATACTGCAGCAGAACTTCCGGTTTTCATATCTTTTGTATTGAACATGACATGGTCTTGACTTTTTGGTGACAGATAGCATTTCCTGTTAGGAATAAGTGGTGTGGATTTGTCCCCCTAGCGTCTTGTTCTGGAACTGAAAGGGAGTTTCTGGGAGTTCCCTTTTCCATGCATTTTCCCTTTCCCTCGCTCAATCCAACTTGGAAGTCATCTTACAGTTCAACTTGGAAGCCCTCTTATAGCACATAGCTCCACGTACGTGAGATCCCTTTTCAAAATTAGAATTCACTTGGCTGTTGATGTGCATAACCTGAACTTTCTTCGTATTTGTTAGAAAAGTATACCCTTATCGTCTTTCTATATTGCACCAAGGCTTGCCTGCAATCCTTTGATAAGAGCTTTATAGGTGTGATCATAGCCGTGTCGTTGTGTGTAGATTGGCATTGCAGGAAAAAGCATGCAATATTCTACCTCAACGCACTTGTGATTTTTCCAAATTATCTTTCAACGCTTTTCCCCAACGCCAGATTCTCTTTCAATGCACTTATCATTTTTTCTATGGCAGCGATAAGAGGTTTCTAATTTCACGTCACTTCACGCGTCATGCACACCGGCGAACTCTCAGTTAGAGCAGAGACATGTTGCCGCCGTTTAGGCTTCGGAAGATTTATCTGACACAACGTCGGTTACGGAAGAACTACGGTCATTAAATGGAAATGTCTAGCTTGAGATGTGATGATTGCTATGTGAAGCAGGAGAATTCATGACTGATGGTTAGATTAGAGCTTAATCGTGGTAATACTTAAGGAGACAGCGGGATTACAACTTACGACTGTGTTGATGTTTCATCATACTTTCCACGCCTAAGGTACTTTGTCGCAAACCCAGTAGGAAAACCAAAGAAAGGAAATATTACTCAAGGAATAAGTAATCTGGTGGCATATGCTGTCCCCACGTTAATGGAACTCATGATCTAGCTGCCTAGTAAGAAAATGTGGTATTTTGTTGCATAACGGATAACCTTTGCTTAGATAGTACGCAGTGAAGGCAATAGGGCAAAAGCAACTGTGAGGGCAATGTTGTCCTCAAGCTCCGTTGGATGTTGGAATTCTACATCATGAGTGCTGAAATGGTAGCAGGGATGCTGAAATGTTAGCAGAGATGCTGAAATGTTAGCGGAGATGCTGAAATGTTAGCAGAGATGCTGAAATGTTAGCAGAGATGCTGAAATGTTAGCAGAGATGCTGAAATGTTAGCAGAGATGCTGAAATGTTAGCAGAGATGCTGAAATGTTAGCAGAGATGCTGAAATGTTAGCAGAGATGCTGAAATGTTAGAAGGCTAGGGATGCCATCTGTTACCTAGCCCGGAATGTCAAGAGTGAGTTCCGACCAGAATCATGGTATTTTGTTGCATAAGGGATAACCTTTTTTTGAATAGTACGCAGTGAAGGCAATAGATAAAAAATCAGCTGTAAAGGCAATGTTGTCCTCAAGCTCCATCGGATATTCAGAATTCTACATCATGAGTGTTGAAATGTTAGCAGGGATGCTGAAATGTTAGCAGGGATGCTGAAATGTTAGAAGGCTAGGGATGCCATCTGTTACCTAGCCCGGAATGTCAAGAGTGAGTTCCGACCAGAATCATGGTATTTTGTTGCATAAGGGATAACCTTTTCTTTAGATAGTACGCAGTGAAGGCAATAGATAAAAAAGCAGCTTTGAAGGCAACGTTGTCCTCAAGCTCCGTTGGATGTTAGAATTCTACATCATGAGTGTTGAAATGTTAGCAGGCTAGGGATGCCATCTGTTACCTAGTCTGGAACGTCAAGAGCGAGTTCCGACCAGGATCACTTATCATCCAGCTGATTGCGCAGGACGAATTGATTTCACATCAGCGAACACTTCTTGCTGGATGTTTCACACTTCCCCGGCCAGGCGCCACTCCAAATCCCACGGCCATCGGCCGAGCAGAGGTCTCGTTATTGGATCTACTTCTGACGTGTCTGACGGATGGACTCCGATGAACAAACGAGGGGAATGGTTGTTCCGATATCGAACGTCAACTTGTAGATCTCATCTTGTAGTTCTATCGATACTTCTAGCAGGAAACTTGTTACAGCTTCAGAAGTAGACATTACCATGGGATGACCCCGGGGCCAGTCTAATCTGGCGCTCGGGTTCTGATGTCAAAAGTGGCTCCGCGGCTGCATTTTGAAAGAACCTAGTTGAACTTTGAGACAAAACTTAGCCATTTGTTGTCTTCTTCACTGATAGTTAGAGTCTTGAACAAACTTGTCGCCCTATTTCTCTGCCGCCGAAAGTCTATGCATCATCTAGACACACACACTAGGACAGCATCGCATAACCACATTGCAATACGTTACTACAGATACGAGTGAGGACGACTTCAAGAGCTTAGATTCACATCGGCGTAAAAACCTTTATGGTTCCCTGTATCCATGGCCTCGCCAAAGGCTATCAAGTTTACAGCGCGGGTGCTTGTGCGCCGTATGAACAATGAGAGATACCAGGAATAATGTATTCTTGATAAGTGACAAGTAGAGATAGGTAGGGAGAAGAGTAATCGCGAACAGTTCAGAACTGTGTGAAAGATGGCGCCCTGTAGAATACATCGTTCGTACTTGGTATTCAGTGTACGCGCGCACAAGTAGTGTCTGCCAGGAGGAGACTTTGAACGATGAGCTCTCTACTTTAATTCCCAGCCGCTTCTACGTCTTCGAAGAAGCCCAGCAGTACGAAGCCACACAGACTTAGAGTGGATGGGAACTTTCATCAGACTTTGCGAGCAGTTACTCTCAGTCATTTACAGAAGACGAACAGTCTAATCTGCTTGCCTAACTCTGGGGAGAAATTCGTCACATGGTCGTGAATTAAATTGTAGCTCAATCACCACACCCCAACCAAGACTTTCCAAGTACGCATATTAATGAATGCGTTTTGAGCAGATTATAAATATTTCATATTCGAAGAGGGTTAATATATACATTCTAAGCACAGCGGCATACAACTTGACAACCATCCCATAACTTTACCAAGTAAGAGCAAAACCAGAAATGTCCTGAAACGAATGACAGTATAAACTAATTGAAAGCGGTTTGAAAATTATTTGACGATTAGGAATTATAATGAAAAGCCGTCATGAAAACGCTTTGAAAGTGGAAAACGCTCCTGCCATGTGAGATATGGTTTCGGTTGTGACATTTTCACACCGACACGTTCTCCCCAGCTAAACGTTACGACTGCTATTTGTATATACTTTTATATTGCAGAAGCAATAATCACCGAGTGCCAATGCTACAGAAACGTATCAGCACAGCTCCAGTCTTGTAAGTCACTATCTTTATTATACGGCTAGGCAATGGTGGAAATCCCCACCAGTAATATTGCTTTAGAAAGCTGGCTGGGGAGTTCTGTAAAGTCGTATATTCACGCATAATTGCCAGACGTCAAACCACAGCTCGTCGTTTTATAGCCTGTTAGCAGTCTCGACACCATGGACCAGTGTTAACGCACTCAAGTCACGATCTCCTATCTTCAGGTTATTTGCAGGTTCTTTATCCAGCACCTACTTTCTATTTCAAACGTGGTTTCGGAGGACGATGCCAATTCAAACTAGAAGGTGAATTGCAAACATCTCGGTATTACACGGTAACACCACACGCCTTTCCGTGCGACTAGCCTGAAAGGAATGGTTAGAGAAGCATAGCATGTCGGCTTAGCCTTGTAGGTACGTACCCGTCTTAGGTGGTAACAGCTACTCTCCAGGCAGAGGTTGATGGTGGGAATATCGTTAGCTTTTTTAGCTTTTTATATATGGCCCTTTTTTTTGTCGCTACCCCCACCTTGGGTCGCACGTGGACTCTCTCTGGTCAATGGATACTGCCTGGCCAATTTGATACTGTCTTTTTGCCACCCTAGGATCTGCTTGGATCAGCATGCTCGTGATATTCCCTTGAAGATAGCTGTTTTAGCCGGCAAATCTTCCATACCAGGGTAATTATGAACCCTGGAAAGAGCAGGAGATTGTAAGATTATGTGTAACCAGTGAATAGCATGTTCCTAGGTTGCTTGTAAAGACGGCAATTGTGCCTCGGAAAGGTCGCTGACACTACGTACTGAATGAATGTGTCTAATTTCTGTAAATGATAATGAGCCACACATTATAGCGGAAGGGCGTCCCGTTTGCTACAAATACGGATTTCAGGGAGAACCATAATAGTCCCTCAGGGGTATACATTGTCTCTTGACTGATCTGGTCTAGTACGCGGTTTGATATTGCTTGCGTGTTCGCTTTCTGATTGGTGCCGTTTCCCTGCCATTCGCCACTAATGTGCAATGTGCGAAATGAAAGCACTTGAGTTGGTGATGGATTGTTGCTGGCAACTTTTCAGGAGAAAAGACTTGCGGTCATCCAAGATAGACGGTTCGTGTGATGATCTAACCAGAAGTTATACGATATAACGAATAAGCCTGAAGCGTGGGAATCGTAAGAAACAACAATGTGTGATCCATTCGCTGGTTCCGACGAAATAGCCTCTACCAGGCTTCGGGAGACGGCTGGAAAGTGTAGAAATCAGGCAAATAGAGAGATAACATGCTGAGGGTGCGGCAAAATGTTCTTTCTAGTGGACCAACTCCCTTGGCGTGTTATCTCTCTATTTGACCGTCTCCTGAAGCCTGGTAGAGGCTAACAGAAAAGCCCTAGACGTAATGCATGGTACAAACTTAGCATTTTGCTACCGGCGTTGTAACTTGTAGGGTTTGCATTCGGTTTTATTCAGAGACGACCATGTGACCATTGGCTCGGTCAAAGTGGTACATGGTAAACACTTCATGTACAAGAGGCAGCTTTGATCGTTTGGAACCATTTGAGAATAGGAGACAACTTTAGAGTCCCCGGTAACGTTCTGTTGACTTTTCCCAAAGATACTGAACTTGCGTGCCGGCAGGAAACTGTAGTAAGTGCTTTTGGAGAACACAGCGGAGAGGGAACAGCGCTTAGGGCATCAGGAGGCTTAAGAACTATTTCGAGATGGATCGACCAAGGATTACATGGATTCTTGAGACACTTCCAGGCGCTTCGGGGTGCCTGGTGGGTCATCTTAGAGATGCTGCAGCTAAGCCGCATGCTCCAGGATATGAGACAATCCATTTGTGTATAAGTACGAAGGTCCTGGTTTCCACCCCGGGGGGAAACAGGTACCGTTTAGATGGAGGAGTGGTAGAATGTGGAAGAAAACAAGAGGCAATTTGCCAGCATTTCCTTGCTGAGTTTCTTCGAACAGATTCAAACAAATGGATATACGTTTCTTTTCTATTGGACTGATCATTACTACTCGTACATGACCACAGTTACCGTTCCGTACCTGTGTATAGTGTCCGCACTCCCGACCCTCGTTACACGTGAGGGTGTCGAAGTGGTAGTCCAGCACCTCGTTGTACCAGTCCTGGATGGGCTGCGGGCTGCGGGACATCCTGGGGGAGCCCTTCCACAGGTTCTGCCCGATCTGCCCGTACGGCGGCGACTCCACGTCCACCTGGCCGTGCTCAAACTCACAATGGTCCGCCCAGGCCTGCGACATGGCCGCCAGCTCGTCATGCCACTTCTGAACACAGACAGAGAAAAGAGATGGGTGTATGAGTCATGAAACAGAATTAGCTTAATTGGGATGAATATAATGAAAGTCTAAACACTGCTTTAAAAATACGGTAGTAGATACAGAAAAGTAAGGACTGACTGATGTCATCCTTCAATCATGTGCGCTTTATGTTTGTGATTTATAGCTTTTGACAAGAATCATTGTGTGTAGCACACACAGAACTGAAAGGGTTAATTGTTCTTATCCAACTTCGATCTTCGACTGTGTTTACAAACTTTATAACTCTTGACAAGAATCATATGTACAGTGCCTCAAGCCTAGGTAATAACATGGCAAGATAAGGATTCGCCCATCAATATTTTGCTAAGCTAAGATTATGCTTAGTTTAAGAACAAAACAAAAAGACACATCGTCGGTAGTTTATAATCCCCTCATGTTTTGAGCTGAGAAGGAGTCATGATGATTTACACACCTGAAGAACGGGGATTGGGCCGCCTGAAGCTTTCATTATACAGCCTTTCAATCTCACACAAACACTCTCGATTGAAATCTATTATTTTCCCACTCCACGTTAGTCCCACACCAACACTCCCCATCTGGGCTACATAAATCAGCCAGTCCTAGAGGTACAGAGTAGACGGAATAAGATTTCCAGATATTCTTTATTCATCCCTCGGCGTTTGAGGTAGGCTACCCGAAGCGCTAGACGTCTTAACATTTTACTGGTTCACTTAATAAAGATTTAATCACTATATCAAATGTATTTATTCTATAAACGCTAGGTGTCTTAACATTTTACTGGTTCACTTAATGAAGATTTAATCACTATATCTAATGTATTTATTTTATAAACGCTAGGTGTCTTAACATTTTACTGGTTCACTTAATGAAGATTTAATCACTATATCTAATTTCGTATTTTACAATTGTATCTTACGTATTTTCGTAATCAATGACATCTAGTAATTATAAAAGAAAAAAATATGCCCCACAATCAATAGTGCCGTTCGATAATCACTCCAGAATAGCTCAGATCTGAGTTAGCGGCTATCATAACGAAAGCCCGATTTCTGGCGTTGAAACTGGCCTTCAATAATGTGGGAAATATGGGAAAATCGATGTCTGGAGCGCCTGTAAAAACGCCTGGACATCAATAACGCTTTTGCTGCGTTTTGATACGCATTGAGCTGATACCGTGCCCTCATGTGGTTATTCTTCCTATGAACTGCGCAGGGGAAACTGCTATTGTACAGGACAACAGAGATAAATAGCTTCTTGCAAACGTCCAAACCTAATGAATAGAAAATATTTCTTTCCAGTCTTCATTTTGTCAAATGATGAATGGCGCCCCAATCATTACATCTACTCAGAGACTAGCTGTAGCGTGCTCCCAGGAGAACACGTCTGTGACCCGTGTGTCAGCAGCATACGTGAGGCATTATCGTGCTATCTCATATACGCTCTCCCTTTATTATGTTTACCAGAGGAAAACATATTGTTTTTGCTACGTTTCCTCTTCTTCCGTTCCAAACACTGACCTCTGACCTGGCCAATGACCTGATTTGTTGACGTCTCTCACCATGGTAACTTGTGTTGGATTTTATAATGTTGCAATTTTATAGTAGGGGGGATTTATACTCCTTTCTGACCATATATATATGAATGTATCTGAGTAAGAATCAATAGAGCAGACCATATGCGAAGGTAAACATTATGCATTTGCTTTGCAAATGTTACCTTTGTAGTCTTACGTAGTGTGACAAGATTTGATGTAAAACCTGTACTGTATCGTGTTGAGATACCGGATTCAGGATTAGGAAACAAAATGCATCTAGTCAAATCTAGTGTCTGGCACTATACATTGACGTTCAACTATACATAGTGTTCAACCTGACCCGAATGATGTACAGCGAGCTCTGTTGAAACCTCAGTGAGTATGGTCGTGTCATTGCACCCAATATAATACAAGCCTGTTGTAAAAGCTGTGTGGAAGACACAGTACCCGTAAAACACTTTTGCTGTAAAGCGCCATATTGAAGCCACAGTCCTATACGAGTCACAAAATCGCAAGTTCTTGACATGCCCATGGCATGAAGAGTTACGCGTATCCGTGCCCGTTTATGATCCTTTCACCACGCTATCAACACTTCACTTTAAGGTTGGTGTTTCATTTTACGACCTAGTTACCAGCGGCACTCTGACAGTGGTTCTTTGTACGATTCGGAATGATTTAATCTCGACCCCAATACTGCGGAGTCATTGAATCGAACGGGCGCTAACTGATGCGAATCGTCTGCTCTTTTCAGTTTTATGACTACAGAGGTTTATACGAGCAATGGTGGCACTGAAATAAAGCTAGGTACGTCCAAGCGGTTATGTCTGTAACTTAGAAATGGGATATATAGGAAACAACTTGACATGTATTTTCTGGCCATAAAACGATTGCTTTAGTGTCATTTAGGAGAATTTTAGTTTTTAAAAAGTCCTCTTGTCACCACTGACATTATTAACTACATCGTCTTTTATAGGACGCCGTTTAAAAAAGTCTGATCGCTATGGACAGTTAGATGTCGTGCCCTTCGCTGAAGGACCATAAAGAAACTTAGTGTTGTTGTTGTAAGTAGTTTTACCACTAACTGAAAGCAATAAGTGGTGATGGCCATGAGGAACAAAAATCTGAGCTACTTTTACATGTCGTATGTATACACTTTTTTTTTACAAATCAAGGATTGCCCAGAGTAGAAAAAGAGCTCATGCCACGGGCCGTCTGTTTTACCATTCTTGAGAAATGTATTTCATTGTATTCTAGCCTCTTGACTGGCGTGCGCATATCAACTCTCCTCCTCATATCATACAAATGTGTCAATCTGTGGGAACAGTAAGATTTACACGCAGAGAGAGTTTTCATCCGCTCATTCTTGACTAGCAAACATTTAAAAGTACTAGTCTTCCTTTAACACTTTTACTGGGAGCGTGCGTTAGAGCATGTAGAGCTCCTTTAACATTCTCTTAGCCCAGATCTATCGACTGACGATGATGCATGCTCCATTATGTGGCGAATTTGCTGAGCTGTGTGACTAATTCCCGTTCATGGGCTCTAATCGAAAGTAGCCGTTAGACAGTAGGTGTAGCAGGGATATTGGATCAGAACATCCGGACCAGAACGCCTGACTGCACAGACAGAGGGACCTGACGGGATCTGGTCAGACGTGTTCAGAATAAATCTGACCGAGAAGGGCATCTCACTTCCAGGAAGAAGAAACCACATCACTTAGGTATAACTCAGTGATTCAGTTTTAAAATGCCAATTTCAAGCGCCAAGAAAAAAGGTGTAGCATTCTTCCATCTCCTCACGTCAGACTCTGACAGCCCTGGCAGCAGTAGCCGGACTCTCTTGGCACGGACTCAAAATCTGTGAAGAAAACGTCTTGGCGCCTGTAATATTGTGGAGATACACACAGTCGTGCTACAGTGGCATCTACGGATCAAAAGAAGAGGTTTCAACTTCCATCGGTTTGACTATGAAAGCAGTTGGATACCCGGGTGGAAGGGTTGTGACTGGAGCCACGACTGACCGACTGTAGGGGATGCAGGAGGGTCTACATACGGACAGACGCATACACTAAACCCTAGTAGGGTACTCTCAGGAACATGTGGAAACCGTGCTGTATAGAAACTCCGTATCACACTCTAGAGTGGTACTTAGAAATGCTTCTTACATGCCGAATGCCCTCTGTTAGTAGTAGCAGATATTAGCACCACAGACTCCCTTATACTTCGGCGAATTTGTCTAACAGGGAGGTCCACCGGTCCACCAGACGAAAATTACCTTCATTGTGTCTGTTGTAGTGAAAATCTATTGACTCCTGGAGGTCTTTGTCCAATCCCCTTGAAGCTTTTATTTTAAACAGGATTTGATGACTAACTCCCGATGAAGCCATTAGTGCGGGAGCATCGATCTCTCCGCGTTTAGATGCACGCCAAGTTCTTCATCCGCGCGCTTTGAAGCCGAGCTCTTCAAGACAAGCAGACGGAAACACTTCTTCAAAGCTCTGTAAGGTAGCTGTTCCGCTGTTTAATGACATTGATATCTTTGGTAGCGTGAGGAAGTAGAGACGCTGAAGAAGTTTACAACCGTGGGCAATCCAGGCTGTTGGACGAGCTCAATGGTAAACATTGGTACAGAAGAGCTTGTTCATCACCATTTTGTCAAAACAGACTTCAGTCAGATGTGTAACCCACAAAGACACCGCCTGTCTCATCAAATGCAAAGAGCTGGCTCTTAACGTGAAGAGAGAAGTACTTAGTTCCCGATGGCCCTTCTGTGGTGAGTGTCTAAACATATGTCATGTTGATGAGGGCAGCAGTTTTGCGTGACAGGCTGTGCTGTGCAGATGCTACGGAACATTTCGAGTTAATTCACGTCCCACACAGATAACTTTACTGCTTTGTTTCCCTACTGAACCAGAACCCGTAATGATAATGCATGTCATTTGTGCTATTCAGAAGAGTGTCTCTGACTTGCATCCAACCAATTCATATCGACTTAAGACGACGAGAACAAAGCACCACTGTCTACCACGTTCAGTTACCGTATACCTCATTCTACGAACCAAATCCCCTGACACACGTAATGTAAAAAGGTGTCATTAGCCGGCATCAAAAATGGCGTCTTAACACCTTCCCTTTGTGCTGACTAAAACACCTAAGCCATTGCATTCAGAGCAAATGGACATGGCTAAGTGTGCCTTAGATGGAGATAGGTCTATGAGAATTAGATAGCCATCACGTCCAAACCTGGCTAAAACCCAAGGCTGGCAACCGAACGGCGAGAGTCAATGGACGATGAGCCATCAGCAGTTGGCAGTCTCATAAACACCAATATCTTCGCCATTAGGTCAATAGTTGTGCTCCAGAATAGGAGGGTCCGGTCGATAGAGCATATCCGGGTCATGGGTTCTGAATGTCATCGGTGGTGCTGTCAAAATATGTGGATTGAAATTACT